TATCCATATAAACCCCGAGCCTTATCTAACGAGGCTCATGTTTATCCTCCCATCAAAATATCTTGTAGGCTTTTAAATTAAGCCTATTGGCTGAATTAATTACTAATTAATTTGGACTTCGGATATTTTAGGAGGCCCACATTAGGAAACGAGCTTTTTAAATTACCCTTAAATCTAAATTAGGAAACTAATTTTCTTTTTGGGTAACTTATTTTCAAATTTGAAACCGACTTTCAAATTAAGAAATTGATTTCTAAAGTAAGAAACTGTTCATTTTAGGAAACTTTCCATTATCGAAAACTTTTTCCAAAATTAGAAACTTTTTCCAATATTTTTGCTTCCTTTTCTTTTATGTGAATGCTTAAACTTATAGGTATGACTCAATAGGCTCCTAGATATATTGAAAATATATCAAGAATAAAAGACACCTCTTTTATCTTTTACTACATAAATCAAGATTGGTATCTAGCAAAATGTCATGACTACCTAATTCTCTAGGAGGATTAATTAATCCGTAATTACCTTTTACGACCATGGTTGTCATACAATTCAATTCTCATTTCAATTTATCACGAGTGTAATCTCGAACTTGGTTATTAGTTTGTTTCATTATAATCACATAAGTTTTCTTTAATTTCGAAATGTCTTAGCTCTTAGAGTAAACCAACTATGCTTTATAGACATACTCGTACTATAGCCACAGCATTTCTTGAGTTGACATTTATCGAAGTGCAATGTGATAACTCCTTTAACATACAAGGAATGATATGTCCTATCTTAGTCATCCACTTATCTCCATTAGGTTCCTAGTGCACCCAACAAATCTCTCACGTGTAACCCTTTATTAAGTTCATCGAAATGAGTGTCAAAGTATATAAATTCTCTAATGAGATAATCGTGATGACTTCAAATCAAAGGATCAGTTGTACCCATCTCATATAAGATTCTCATAGACTAAATCAAATGGGTTATCATGGAAGGTCAAATCCAGTGATATATCATCTAACATAAATCAAGTAAATGTTTGCTTTGGCATCACTATGCCAATAGGTGTAAAATGTCTTACTCGCTATCTAATACCATGAGCACAACACTCACAAGTCTAATTGCATATAGTCAATGTTTATTCTTGACGGTGCTATGACTTATGACGTTAAATAATATCATTTGAGTGCATTAATGTTTGTCTCACATCTTTTGATCAACCATTAATACAAATACGTATTATATGAACTTCTATCTAATTCTATTCAATAAATAGATGTAAACAATAAGAATCAATAGAAAGATTTATTTATTATTAATAAAATAAATAATACAATGTTATAATAACTCAAACCATCCAATCAAGGTTGGATCTTGAGCATCTATACTAACAATATAGAGTTTTTTAGGGGTGGTGGCATTGACCAAGGAAAAGACATGAGAAGAAAAAATGGGAAAAAAAGTGGCGAAAACCCATGTAGGGATTTTGTGATCATGGGCACCTACACTAACAATATGGAGTTTTTGGGGAAGGTGGCGCCGCCCAAGGAAAAGAAGAGAGAAGAAAAAATGGGAAAAAAAGTGACGTAAACCCATTTATGGATTTTGCGATTAGCAATGATTCGCATTCCATTGCTAAATTCTTTCTTTAAAAAAAAATCGATTTTTCCCTTTAAGTTGAAATAAAGATGTTCTAACCATCGTTAAAAAGCAACGTATTTAGCGATGGTCCGCTTAAATTCCACCCAAAAATGAGTTGTTAGCGACGATTTTATAAACCATCATTAAAAACCCATTTATTTGGGTCAAATTAGCTGCAATTTATTAAACTATCGCTATAAACCAAATTAAAATGGTTGAACAAGCCATGGCAAATTCTTTTTTTTTTTTTTTGCGAAGATTTCCCAAATCGTTGCGAAAACGACCTTGATTCTTGGGTTTTTAGCAATGGTTTTCAAAACCATGGCCAAAAACCCAAGAATTTGTGTGTTTTTGGCTTTTAGAGATGGTTTTCAAAGCCGTCGCTAAAAACCTAAAATTGTAATGAAATTCGCAACGATCTATTGAGACTATCACGAATTCTTGGTATTTAGCAATAGTTTTCTAAATCATCGTTAAAAAATGATCACTAATCCTATCTTTATTTTAGTGCTTGATACTGTTTAACTCTTACAAGATACTTGATAGGTAAAAACCTAGGTAATGAAATCATATAGATATTTGGTCTTGAAGAGAGAAATCCAACTCTTGTCTAAATTGAAAGAGCAACTACTTAATCAGTACTTTTTTCGAAAGAAAAAAATAATACCGATTAAAAATGGAATGTTTAACGAGATAGGAATCTTCCTTAAAAAAAAAAAAAAAAAAGCTTAAATTTCAAGAGAGAGATGCTATTTTCTTTTAAAAAATAGACTACAAGAAAATTTAAGAAGTTGGATCGTTATATTAATGTGGAATCGCAATGGATCTATCAATCTAATAGCTAATATTTTTAAACAATTTATCCTGTTGCATTTTGTTTTTTAACATAATTCACTATTTTTCTAAATAACACTATAAACGTATCCTTTTGCTTTTGGAGTTTTGCTCTAATAATATCATTAATACATTCTGTTAAAAAATAATTTATTTCATAATTAGACGTGCCTATTTAGGCAATTCACATGGTGCATTTATAAATAATTTATTTTTATATAAATATTATATATCTTTTGATTTATGTTTGCCTCAAAATATTTATTTGATCAAAATTTTAAATGATATATTTTTTAAAAATGTTTTTAATTAAAATCCATATTGTGTGTGCAAAATTCAATTAAAAAAATATTTTAAAAATTACGGAAAAAAAGATACAGTATAATAATTAATAGGTACTATCTTTAGGTAATTAGCATCGCCATTAAAGCAGCTTCTCAGCAATCCATCGTGGTAATTTTGTTAGTAGATGAGCCGGTATTTTGAACTGGACAGAGTAAATTATTTGGATTGGACAAAGTAAAATTAATTTCGCTTCAGGCATGTCCTCACACGACAAACTACGAAAACTGCTCGTCACGCTCAGTCGACAGAGTCTAAAAGCTAGCTGACCAATCTGATACAAGCTCTGCTGATAATAATTTTTCGTAAGATAATGCTTCATTAAAAAATGAAAATGTGAAAGGTCCAAACCGAAACAGGTTGCAAATCCAGCAAAAATATCAATAACAGAACTCAATGGCAAAAACAAACCAATCTGAACTTCGGAATAACGTAAAATTTTTTGCCATTGGTTTAAACTTCGGAATATTTATCCAAATTTGAAGACTCATCCTCTTGGAGAAATGATCTTCCTGTGACAAGCTTGATCTTAACACAGGCTTTATCTTGAAAAGGGCTGCGTGCTGTGCATGTCGTCCTTATTATTGCCACCAATTATAGACCTCAAAATTTCAGATAATTTAACGAGGCTACTTTTGTAACTTTGGGTATTCGACCTTTGTAAATATGTGGAGAATGAAGGGCAACATCGTCCTTGGAATTTTGATGAACACTAATAGCTTCCTGGCAAAGCATCCTGAAGTGCCAAGTGGACTGCGAAGCAGGACAAATGTCTGTTACCCCGATTGGCGAATGAATGTATCGAGAGGAGCCACTGCTTCCCACGTCGTGCTAAACGGTTGAGATTTGTTACACCACCCCCAATACGAGTACACCCTTTCACCCCACCCCACCACTCACTTACAACTCACACCTCGTCAAATATTTAAGCAAAAATCTTTGGGTAAACAATATTTTCGCCCTTTGTATTTATCAATGTTCCACTTCCACTCCTATATTTTAAAATTTCTCAATCTACTTCTATAATATTTTAAAAAGCATCGATTTTGCTTTTCTTGCTAAATACTATTACTATCACTAAAAAATTGTTTCTTTTGACTTTTTACATGATTAAAAAATTATTAATTATTAAGTTATATCAATATTTTTTATATAAATTTTTATATAAATTATATTTAAATATTTTTTATAAAATAAATTTTAATTTAAAATATTTTTTAAAAATATATATTTTTATCTTTTTATTAAATAAATATTTTAAGACATATATAAATAATAAGGCGGACAATCTTTTTAAAACAGAGATAATATCTAATACAAAACTCAAATTTTTTAAATTTTTACTTTTTTTCTCTCTCTCTAAAATATCACACCAAAATATTAAAACTTGAAGAATATAAAAAATAAATAAAGAATAGATTGTTTAACTTGGAAATATAAAAACTAAATAAAGAATAGGTTGTTTAACCATTAAACTAATTCATATCGGAAAAGTATAAATAATACAAGTAAAAATGAAACATTTGTGAATCCATAGGGATGAAAATGAAATTTTCTTGAAAAAGAGCCTTGGCCTGTCACATGCGTTCCAAATGCCTCTCAACTCCTACATGGACCCCACTCACTCCCACTCCCTCCTAATACCTTACCTGGCGGCAACTCTGTGGCCCCCGCCTCTTTGAACCTAGCTAGTAGAAGCAGCAGCAGGAGAGAGCTGTAGAGCCTGCGCGTGGTCCCCACTCTCCATGTTTGCGAACTAGATTAGTTTATTGGTTCGCCTCTCACAACATCCCTTACCCTTCTCTTTATTGCTTTTTGGCTCTACAAATACAGATTGCCTTAATCTCTCTCCTACTCTTTCGCTCTCTCTTTTAATTCTCTAGTTCGTTTACTCTGTCAAGAAAAAGATAAAGAGATTTTTGTGTTACGAGAAGAAGGGCCCAGAGAGGGAGGGGTTTGCCTTTGATTAAGCACAAGCACAGGTCTCTCTTCTCTTTAAGCTCCTTCTATTCTTCTGCTTGAGGCTTTCTCTGGGTCCCTATCCCTGCAAATCCAGCGAACCCCAACTGGGATTGTTATCATTAAAGCTTAAGCAAGCAGCAAAAATTAACACCCATTATTCCAAATCATCAAAGTTCCCCACTTCCACTGATTTTTCTTTTGTTCTCTTAAGGTGGTGCTCTCCGTGTTGTTTAAATATGGCTGAGAGTTTAGATGACGGCGAGTTTTGGCTGCCTCCTCAATTTCTTATAGACAACGATACAGTACTCATGGAAACGAATAGTGATAGTAACCTGAAGAACGGGAGCATTAAGGACTTGCTTGGCTTCTCTGAAACTGAGTATGGGAAATCGTTCTTCCCTTTCGAGTTTCCTTATGGGTCTGGTTCCTTGGGTTTTTCTTCGGATATCAGTTCTCCTGTTGAGTCTGTGGTTGGCTCTACTGAAACAGAGAGTGATGAAGAAGATTACCTTGCTGGGTTAACTCGTCAAATGGCTCACTCCACTCTTGAAGATGATTTCAAGAGCAACGACCTTTCTTTCGGCACCGAAAAAACTAAGGTATTGTTTTTCCCTTTTCTTTTGAAGTAGTACAAGCTTACTCTGGTTTTAGCGACTATCTTTTTTGGTGCTAACTTTTGGGTCTTGGTATTGTACGATTTGCAGGGTTGGGTTGTGTCTGGATCGCCTCAATCAACGCTTTGTGCAGTTGGAAGCGGCTGCGGTTGTAGACAAGGGTCAAGCCGTGGAAGCCCAGATGGATCTTCACCACCAGCAACTTGGGATCTTCTGTATGCGGCTGCAGGAGAAGTAGAGAGGATGAGAATGAACAACGAAGAAAGGTGTGGTTTTAAAAACCGAAGTAGAGGACTATTAGGTCCACCAAGAAAACCCTCTCCAATTTCTATTCCGTTGAAAAATCCCAACTCTGATGTTAGTCTCTACCAACACCAGCAGTCCCTTTCTTACCAGAAGTTGCAGGCATCCCAAGTAATTTGCCAAAAACACTTACCTTATAATACTTTCCTTCATTTCTTGTCAAAGAGAAGAGGGGAGATCTTTTGCTAATTACTAATTGTGGGCTGGTGTTTTGTTTGTTTCATTTTCAAGTTTCAGCAGTTGAGAGTACAACAAATGATCCAGCAGCAACAACAGAGTGCTTGGGGAGGGCAAAACAACAGTAAGGGGACTGGAGTATTGTTCCCTCAACAGCCGCAGCAAACTCAGTCTGTGGTCCAAAACAGAGGGAGGAATCTCACTAGTGTTAGTAGAGGACCATTGGGTTTGTCTGCATCTGCTTGGCCTCCTTTACAAAACAGCATACAGCAACAGCAGCAGCATATCCAACAACAGAACAACAATCATGGTGGCTATGGCATGCAGGCTGTGTTCCTTGGTAACCCAGGAGCGAAAAGAGAATGTGCTGGTACTGGGGTTTTCTTGCCTCGTCAAATCGGTACCCGAACCGAATCTCGGAAGAAGTCGGGTCTGTTCCACTTTTTTTATTTCTGTTTCATTTTTTTTTTGTTATTTTTTTTAATTCACTGTATTGGTTTTCATATTTGTTTAGATAGATCTGGCCATTAGAAACAATTTAATTAGTGCTAATTTAGCTTTGAATATTTTTTGAAAAGAAAGGTTTCGTTTTTATTTATGGAATCTGTTTTGGCTTAATAACAGTGATGTTGATTTTTGTGATTAATATTATAATAACAGGGTGTTCCACAGTTCTGCTTCCCGCGAAAGTGGTACAAGCCCTCAACTTGAATTTAGAAGGAATGGGTGCGCAGGCCCAGTTCCAGCCTCGGTTTAATGGAAGTTTCACAACCGACACTGGTAAATATTTTATTACTATTATTATTTTTTTTAACGGGATTAACCGGAGGATTTTACTGATATTTTGGGTTTTGTTTTTATGTGGTGTATAGATGCTGCTGCTGCGGCGGCTAGGGTTCGCAACAATAACATTCTCTCTCATCAGAAGCAGCAGCGCAATAGCAGGGCACAAGCAGTAATGAACAATGAAGTCAGATTACCCCAGGAATGGACTTATTGACCAACCATTTTTTTTGGGTGTTTTTTTACTAGTAGTGTTGGTTTTTTTTTTTTTTTTCCCTAGGGAAGTTAAAGGAATTTGGAAGGTTTGAAGAGAAAAAAGGAAGGAAAGTTGGATGATGATGGTACGTAGTAGGTCGCTGTAGGAAAAAGTTTGCATAAAAAAATAGTGGAAGGAGGGAAAAAAATGAAATTGATGGAAGGATGATGATGAAAGAAATTATGAAGAAATGTTTTTTTGGGGTAGATTTAGGAGAAATAAAAGTTAGCAGCAGCAGGTTTTATGTTCGTTTTGTGTGGCTCAAGGGACGAGAAAGTGGTGGACTGGGGATATGCTATATTTTTGTTTGTGTTTTTTTTTTATATAAAAAATTACTAATAAATTGGATGTTTTTTCGGTAGTTAAAGGGATGATTAACGAGGGTAGAACCATGTTTTGGAGGGAAACTACTACCTTCTTTACTTGTAATGAACTAATGATCATTGGTATCAACACCAAATGTTTTGTGTTGCTTATGTAAAAAGTTCATTTCAGCCTGTTCACCCACTCCAAAGCCATGAAGTAATAAAAGAATTATATTATATTCTCTCTTTTTCATCTCTCCATGGCACTCTTCTTCAATATGCTTAGTAATGGTGATAAAGTATTTAATGGTATAAACATATCTGATTGTTTGCATCTCAAGAATGTATCTAGAGCAGTGTCAAGGGTGTATAGGGCTATCAGACATAACTGTCTGAATCTTTAATTATACGTTTTTACTTGTATTTATTATTCTGAATATTGTTCTAGTTTTTTTATTATTATTATGACTAAATTTATTGATGAATAGTCTAACTAAAACACAAAGAAAAGAAACATTTAAAGTCATATAAGGTGAATGTTGCAGTTTTGAAGTTTTGGAAATATTTCTTTTTTAGGTGAAATAGAAACGCAACAAAACTTTTGGAAAAAAATTTATCAGATATGTTGGAGATTTAAATGTTATTGTATTATAATATAAAATAAGAATATTTTAAAAATAGAGAGATAGTAGATGCAATTAGTAATAAGAAAGAAGATTCAGGCTGAGATATTTATCCCAGCATTAGATTATTACATACCTTTTATGTTATGAAGCCACGTTTTCGTAGAGCAATGCGGTGTCATCACGGCATCGCACGTATACTTTAGTGAGGAAACTTAGTAGTTCTTGAATGCACATATTATTATACTGTAAAGAAGCAATCACAGTTGTACTTTTAATTTGTAATCTTCTTTAAAGGGTTATTGCTTTCCCCTAGATCTGGTCGTGTTAGCAATTAACCTTTAATTGGTTTATCGATCAAACCAACAACTAGAGTTAGCGAGCCTATTTTAGAAACTCCCCCAATTTATCCTATAAATAAAAGTTACTTCTATCTTTGTCACATTTTGTCAATTTAGCCCATGTGGCTGAATTGCAAATAATATAGTCTCTTTTTGCAGCCAAAATTTGTCAATCTTTATTATTCTTTTCCCTCAAAAAAATTGTTCTATTTTTTTATTTATATTTGTTGGTTCATGTATTAATTTTTAGATAAAATTTTTCTTTAAATTAATATTGATTTTATATAATACATAATTAAATTTAATAACTGGCAATCTTAACGAAAAAGTATTTTAAAAATATAAACAAAAAATATTGATATTACATACTAATGAATAATCTTTTAAATTACGTAAAAAGTCAAATGAGATGATTTTTGTAACAAAAAAAGTATAATTTTAGTCCAATCAAATTGAATTGACTACAAATATAGGGTGAATTTAATAAACATTGTTTTTGCGGGAGCTGGGTTGTGAATTGATATAAATACAAGGGTTGAGATTGAGGGACCCGATGAATGAGACAGACACGGCAGGATTGCTTAGAAATGAAGTATCTTATCCAGCTAAGCAGTACTAGACTAGTCCCAGCTGCCATAAGCAAATTTGAACAGTAAATAGAAGTGGGCCAACGCTGGTGCTAGCCTTTTACGCGTGTCAAACAATAAGATGGGTTTTGTTTTTTCAGATCTTTTCGTATAACCTTTTTCATTTTGAAGGCCTGATTTTTCTCAGATCTGCATCCCCGAAGTAGGACTATAAACAGAAGGTAAGGGCTGGCCAGTTGCTTTCAAAGCAGATGGGGATGGCCTGCCAGCAAGCTATGGAGTAAATTATAAATTAATCCTTCATATTTTGAGAAACAAATTAATTAATTATTTTTATTTTAAAAACTAATTATTTAGTATTTTAAATTTTAATGTTATCAATAACTTAGTCATTTTATTAGTTTTCTATTAAATTAGTGATGAAATATCTTATTACAGTATTTTTTATCTCTAAATTATCATTCTTTTTATGTCTTTATTTCTCTTTTTCATACATTTTTTTCTCTCTTCTTAACAATTATGTTAACCTCTCTTTTAATTTTTTCAATTAGTTTCTCTCCTCAACCATCACCATGCTATTCCCTCTTAGACCATCAATCGAGTGAAAAAATTGAGAGAAAATTGCCATGATAGTTTTAGAGAGACACAAAAAGTTAGTAAAGAATGGAAACAAAACATCAAAAAAGATAATTTAAAATAAACATACTTTGGTAGAACACCTCCGAGAAACTATAAAAAAACTGAGTCATTAGTAGAATTATAAGGTAAGAGATTAAATTATTAATTTTGAAATAAAAAAGGACTAATCAATTCGTTTTCTAAACAAGAGGGACTATTCTATAATTTACTCAACGCCGAGTAGCCGGCATAGGGTGTGCGTTTGTGGCAAGTTGAAGGCCTAGGCCACGTCGGTGGCCGTGCACTTTGGATTCACGTGGTGCGCACCACTTCTTGTGTTTTGTGGGTGGCAATGCCGCCATGGGGTTAACGCGCATTGATAGCAGTTGGGGAATGTAAGAGAGGAGTCATTCTTTCTTTTTCCCTGTTTTTCGGCTGCGTCGGCTGATGTGTCCTTTGTGATGGTTGTACATGTCGTGCTGTGGGTTTCGACTTTCGCGTGTGTATGTTTTGACTAGGTCAGGTTCATGCTCATGTGACAGTGTCGCCCATCCTCTTCATTCTTTTCTTCCTAGGTCTTTTGTTTGCTTCATGCGTTTTTCCTTTCCTTGACTCTTCAAGTACTCATTATTATTATTATTATTATACTTTTTGTAACCAAATTGTGTAAATAAAAATCACTATTAGTCATTCCTTGCTTCACTTTTTTTATTTTTTGAAAAAAGTAAAGGTGTTGTTCTTACGAAATTTAGTTATAAAAAAATAAAATAAATTTAGTTGAAATTATAGTTATTTGAAGTCATTCGAAGTATAACCTCTAATTAATAAGAAATGAGATTTGAGTTAATGGTGGCGCATGTTCTTCTACTTTTTTTTTTTTTTTAAATCTTAAATTAATTTTTTTTCGTTTGCTTTCTGCCTTAATCTCTTTTCGTTGACTTTTGAACTACCGTTGTTAATTTGTTTTTTTCAATCTACTCTTGTTTTTTATACCAAACTTAAATAAATAAATTTTAAAAAAATTGAAAAGAAATAAAGATATATTCGTTCTTTCTCTCTAAAAATTTTAAAAAAAAAACTAGAAAAAAGAGATGAAGCTAAAAATATATTTTATCCAAAATATTTTTTATGAATTTAAATCTATCTCTATTATAGTAAACAAATTTAAAATTTAAAATAAAATATTTGTAGTTCTTTTTAATCTAAAGAGAGTTTTAATTAAATTTAAATTTTTGAATGATGTTCATAATTTTAAAATACCTTAAAAGAGTATATTATAATTTATTTTTTTTGATTTTATAAATTTTTAATTTTAAAAATTTATCTAAAACTCTTTTCATATTAAAAAAAAAGTACTGCAAATAATTTATTTTAAACTCAAAATTTACTTATTATCACATAAATAAAATAAGCCTATAAATGAGTTTGGATAAAAAAATATATCTTTATCTTCATTTTTTTTAATTTTTAAAGAGGATGATTGGATATATCTTTTCTTTTAATTGAGTAAAAAAATTATAACAAAATTAAGATGAAAAATAGATAGAGAGATAAGATTAAGACTTGGGAAAAAGTTAATATCGTTGTTCAAAAGTTAACAAAATAATGAGATTAAAACAGAAACCAAACGTAGATGAATGAACTAACAAAAAAAAAAACCAAAGGGAGGCGACAAAGACAAATAATAATAATAATAATAATAATAATAATAGAGAGACTTATGCAGCCATATACCATTTGGATTTTATACTCAGTTTTAAAAAGTAAAATTTATGCGAATTTTTTAATTTTGTTATAAGTGTTTAGTTTGAGTAAATTATAAATTAGTCTCTTTAGTTTTGATGAGCATTAATTAATCTATCTTGTTTTAAAAATTATTTTTTTAATCAATATTGACCTTACTTAATTTAAAGACTTAAAAAACTAGAGTGAGGAAAAAAACTGTAATTTTCTGTTCGAACATAATATTTCTTCAAAGAAAAACGGAAAACTAGTTTTTAAAATTTACATTGAATTTGGAAAAAATGTCCTTTACAGGTTTTTAACTGTTTTTCAAATGAAAAGGAAAACTAAAATATGAACAATACAATATTTATAAATCCAAAACATTGAAATTATCTTAGTTTACATTTTTATATTTGGTTAATATCATCAATTTATTTTTTATTATAAATTTAATTTATATATGGGATTTAGTAAGTACATTGTTTTCATGATAATTTTAAATTTAAATGGTTTAAAAATAATATTTTATAGTTACATTACCACAAATACAAAAAATTAAGAAATTATGATTTCAATCTTTTTATAAAAAAATAATTATAATCTTGACGTGTTTCTTAATTTTTTTAACGGAAAACTTTTCTGTCTTTGATTAAGGAATACATTTTCTTTTAATTTTTCACTGAAATGAAAGACTAAAAAAAGAAAAACAACTGAAAATGTAAATGAAAAATGGTTTTCAATTATTGAACATGCAAGTCTCTCCTTTTCACGTGTCGTGTTTTAACGTGATACAGTGTCACGACTTATCTGCTTAGGCTTGCCACAATTTGATGGGACTCTTTTCTCATTTCAGCCGAATAAAAACAAATTAATTAATTTTATTTATTTTAAAATTTAATTATTTTGTTTTTCAAACAGTAATAAACACTTAAATTCAATACTACTTTATTTCTAATAGTATTATCCTTTTTTTTATCAATCATTTCATTTTTTATATGTATTTTAAAATAAAAAAAGAAAAAAACTAAAAAGATGAAGTTACAAAAAAAATTAAAATATAAATATTACATATTTAATATTTTTAAAATAAGAAAGATTAAGTAATTAATTAATTCTTAAAAAAAAAATCCTAAATTCAATGGTTGCTCAACCAACCAAACAACATGCAATTTTGTCTTTCTGGACATGTTACAACAATAATGACAGAAGCCAGACAAATTGACGGTGACAATAACAATGATTTCTATTATTGTAATGGTAATCTTATGAATTATGATAGACAGCTTAGATCATACGTTTTGTTACGTTCGACCTAAAGAAATGTTAGGTCTCCTAGCGTGCCGCTTTGTTTCCTAGCATAGAACATGGGTATGGTGGCAAAAAGAATGTTACCATTCATCATGTCAAAAAGTTGATTCTTCCTAGCGAAAATTTTCTTTATTTTTTCGTGTAGCATTGAATATAATCTCTCGACCGATTTAAAAATTGATTAAAATTAAGTATAATTTGATTTTAATTTATCTTAAATAGTGATAAACTTAGTTTTTATTAACATAAAAACTGATCCAAAAAATATTTTATTATCTCAAAACATAAAAATAAAAAAAATAAAAAAGGACCAGGTAATGTTGCGTATAAACTTGGTAACGTTGGTGGTACGCAAATGGCTCGATGAAAGAAAATTGCTGTCATAATTGAGACCACTGATGCTATGTATAATATTTGGCTAAAGGCTGTATTGTTTTTATTTTATTAAGTAATAAAATAACGGCTGACTTATTAATGTCCCTTCTTGATTGGTGTTTACTTGCTTCGTGAACTTAAATACTAGTGAACAGACAATCATATGGCCGTGTAGCGACAAACTATAAACAATAAAAACCCATTTTAGCTGCTAAACAGGCAAATAATTGATCCTTTCGCACCTGAGGTCCATAATCTCTGTTATAAAGTGCAATTGCGTTGACGTTTAAAGATGCTACATTGAATACTGAATAAATATTTTTTTGTTCTCTCCATTTGTGAATATATCCAGAAATGACAATTGTACCAGAGTTCATTATTGTTTTAATGGAGATGGGTATGAAAACTATTTTCTGTTTATCAATGTTTTATTATGCAAAATAAGAATAAAATTTAAAGATAAGCTGAGTTAACAACTAAATTAAAACAAAGTAGCAAAATAATATGTTTCTACTTAGCCCTTAGCAGAAATGAGGAGCACAATTGAAAGCATCTTATGTTGGACCATTAAAATAAAGAATAGCTACAAATTCAGGGACTGAATTCAACAAAAGTGGCAAACCGTAAAAACACTACTTCCTAGTTTCATTTTTCCGTTACCCCACGGTTTAGCGCAAAATGATCTCCTCTTTCAACCTCACCATACCGTAGGCAAAGAGAGGGGAGGAATGATCAGATTTCAGCCAAAATTTCAGATAAGTAACCGGCCAAAACATGCCCCAAACTAGCAAAAAAGAAAAAAAGACAAAAAATTAACTAACCAACAAGCCAACGAAAACTAACTCAACAACACCATTCAAAACCTACATTTGACTTAATAAGAAAATGAAAACAAACAGAGATATACCTACTACAGAGAAAAGCAAAACACGACAGCAATGGTGGGAGGATTGACAAGAAAAATTATGCAAAGTCTTAATCGTGGACTAAAAAACTAGGCTCTTTAACTTCTTCTTCTTCTTCTTCTGTCCCCCCCGCCTAACCGCTGACCAAAACTCTCTATTTTCTGTTTACAACTACCCCTCAACCCTCTCTGTCATTCAATGCTTTATTTTCTCTCTCTCTTTGTATATATTCGTCCTAAATTCTTTCCCGAAACTGCCTTTTTATAGTCTTCTTGGGATAGGTTTTTTCGATGCTTTCATCAAGTGTGGACCTTTTATTTCGTAAGACTAATCCACCCCTACACATCCCTACC